TCCAGTGAATCCCATAATTTAATAGCTTGGGGAGAACAATAGTTAAATGCAGCTGTCTTAATACAAAACTTAAGTGAAATTGCACTGTGACTGTAATTTAACTACACTGATACTATTAAATCTGTGTAATAATGTATGATGTGCTTATTTAAAGTAAGCTGTAAGTGTTAGCTATATAAAATGCTTGAGATGCTTCCATTGGAAACAAACTGTAGTTTATTTTTCAAAGTTTTACTTTCCTCTTCCCTGCTACTGCAGAGCGGCATCCAAATTATGCATTCCAATCTAATGGAATTCCAATCTCATGGAATGGCTCATAAATTTTGTCTGGGCCTGCCTATATCTTCTGACACATAGAATCATAGAATAGTTAGGGTTGGAAAGGCCCTTAAGATCATCTAGTTACAACCTCCCTGCCACGGGCAGGGACACCTTGTGCTAGACCATGTCTCTGAAGGCTCTGTCCAACCTGGCCTTGAACACTGCCAGGGATGGAGCACTTAACACTTCTCTGGGCAACCTGTTCCAGTGCCTCACCACCCTCACAGTAAAGAACTTCTTCCTTACATCTAATCTGAATCTCCCCTGTTTAAGTTTAAACCCGTTACCCCTTGTCATATTGCTGCAGTCTCTGATGAAGAGTCTCTGTCCAGCATCCTTGTAGGCCTCCTTCAGACATGAAGTGTCCTATGTACCTGCAAGAGAATCTGTATTTCCTTCCATTCCTCTCACCAGTTAAAAAGCTGCTGTGTCTCAGCATCAGGGTTCCCAGCCTTGGCGGGGGACTGCTGACTTGGGCTTGCCTGGCTGAGCAGGTGGCACACAGCCCTGCTTTGGTCTGGACAGGAGGCCAGGCCAGGCTGAGGCTGTTCATGCAAGCAGGAACCATGCCCACAGGTAGATTTAGAATTACAGGTTCAACCCTTGAATTTGTCACAAACCGAGGAACATTTTAATGTATGCCATGAAACATAAGTTCCTGCTTCCTTTATGGCAGACTGCAGAAAAATCTACTGCTGTGTATCAAGTGGTTAAAGAAGGTGGACTTCACTCCTTTTAAAACTCCTTTTTTTTCTTCTTTTTTTTTTGAGTGAATAGTTTTATTTTAAACTTTCTTTTATCATTTCTCAACGAGAAGTTTTACTAAGTATTTTGCTTTTCAGAAACCATCCCAAGGATGCTCCAGAAACAGTCTCTGAAGGTCAACATATGACATATTCTCACTGTGAGATTTTATTCATGTCAGCTGGAAGATCTGTGTGATATGATAGGTGCTGGGAACCTGGGACTTGCTTAACTGGATCACACCAGTCATTCACTGGGTCCTGAATTATGTTCATAGAGAGGAATCCTTTAAAAAGTAAAGAAGATTGAAGAAATCTCACAGTAGGAAATATTGCAACAGTTTCTGCAGAGGAATCATTCTGTTTATGATCCACTTTTCAGTATTAGAAGTATTAGAATCAAGATGCCATATGACATCTTTAGGGCTTTCTCCTCCATTTGTTTTGTAACTATGAATATTTTTGTCACCTATAAAATTACTTTTCATGGGTGAACACGTAAAAAAATGAGGGGAGCAGAGCTGGTGTTTGTTTCAGTAGTCAGTTTTTCTTTCATTTGTTCTTTGATGTTTGTGACATTTCCTGTTAGTTGTTTTCAGGTCTTGTTTATTAGGGTTAGTGGTTTGGGGGTTTTGGGGGGGTTGGTGGTTTGGGGCTTTTTTAATTGCCAGTTGTTTTATAAAGCAGTATTCTGGACTTTTCTTGGTGTTTCTGAGGCACAGCTGATTCTACAAGAAGGCTGGTTACTTTCTTTATCGTATTGAAGTGTTTAAGTGCAATAATAGTTTTCTTCTCTCTCTCTCCCCTCAAAGTGGGTGGCTGGGTGATTTCCAACCCAGATACAATGTGTGCATCAGGAAGCTCTAATTATCAGTACACTGGACCTTTGCCTCTGGCAGCTCCACACGCTCCCCATGGCTACGAGCGATATTCAGCACTGCGAGGGCACCGGGCTGCTCCATACCCACCTTCTTACATGCAGAGAAATCATTCCCCTACAGGTACAACTTTAATGCTGCTTTGCTTCCAGGGAACAGACGCTCTGCCTGTCTGACCCTTGCTTTATGTTAGCATAAGCATTAAAACAAGCAAAAACTGAGGTTAGGAAAGAGTATAAGTATGTAACAATCTGCACTGAACCTGCATGCGCAAAGTATGGTTAAGACAGCAGAAAGTAGGTACAAAGCGCTGGGTGCACTGAAACTATTAATTATAAATGAGGGTGAATGAACTTGCTTAAAGTACAACTCCTAATTATACAAAAAGATCATTGCAAGCCTTCTTTCAATGTCATGCCGTGAAACATTTGTGCTCTTGAGTCAAAGCAGCCCTTAGGATCACGGTAGGAGCTGACTTGAGATGAGGGCATCTTGGTATTGCCAAAATGTCTTTTGAGTTTATTTCACTCCCTAGATCTGAATGCAGAGTTCCAGAAATTGATTCCACTCTAATCAGATTAGAAGCAAGAGTAAGGATAAAGTAATCTGTTTATTAATTATAATTTAGCAAGGCATCATGTTTAATGAAAATATTTAAGCTCAAGTTATAAGGAAGTATCAAAACATTGTCACTCTTATGGCAAATATCATTAACAAGAGGACTGTTAGACTTGCAAAAAGGCATATCCTCTGTCTATCATGCTGTATCTTCTCATATATCACACCTGGATTTACAACGGCACCTTGCTACTCTCTTAATAAACACATGAATTTTGTCTTTTTACTTATGGAACCTCATTATCATATTGATTCCTCAGGCCTACCCATGTTCTGTTGCATTAAGACAATGTCTCTGCAATAGTTGCTGAGGATTTATTTGTTACTCTTTCATTTTTCCCCTCCCAAAGTTAATTTGTTGGAGAGCTCCAGCAATAATCTGCAGGTATTCTCAGGACATGACAGCTGGACTTTGCCATCCTCTTCACACACTAATTTGCTCTCAGCGCCACACACAAAGGGACCTGCCAGCCCTGGGCCCAGGTAAGGCTACAGAACAAATACTGTTACTAGGAGCAGTGAGGCTTGTAGGACTGCCCTGGTGATTCACACTTTGTTCAAGCTTTAACTGGTATCCAGGATATGAAACATGTCCTAAGTGCCCAGTTCAACATTCCTGGACAAATCTGTCCAACAAGCTAATTGTCTCCTGCTTGAAATTAGTGGGAACTTCGTTCTACCCCAGCCCTACTGAAAACCAGGATCTTGGAAGAGCCACAGAGAACTCTGGTGTCTACAGTCTGCGAGCATTTTAAAGCCAAATTATTTTTCTTTATATATTACTCACTGTTCTCTTGCATGAAATGAGGATGCTAATCCCATACAGGGATGTAACAATCTAACTCATGTTCTATTGTAAAAGTATTGTTAATAGGGTAGTAAACACTTCCAGGAATGGATGGAATTCAGACGCAGAGAGTCAATTAATTATCAAGTATTTCCCCTTCTTTTCCCAAAATAAATGCACTCATTTCTTCTCTAATTTAGGTGCCAGGAAAACCAGCTGCAATTCTTTAAAATTTGTAAGCATTAACAAAAAAGATCTTTAAATCTTGAAACCTCACATGTGTTTGTATATTTCTCTCCGTGCCTTCTCCAAGGTCACCAGGTCTGAAGACTGCTGATCTAGTTTAGTAACTTGATGCTGATAGCTGCCTTTTAGCAGATAATGCACTTGATTTTACTGTGGTAAATCTCTTGCAGGTGGAAAATGCTTTGAAATAGGTAATTCAATTTGTACTGCTTTTTTTTTTTCAGCCACTACCCTTGCCTGTGGACAGTGAGCAACAGTGCGGTAAACACTGCCAACACAGGAAGTGAGGCGAACAGCAGGCCTTCAAGCATGTTTCTAAGGGGTAATGTCCCCTTACCCACTGCATCATCAGTCCAAATCCCTCTGCAGGGAGTGGTATCGAGCAGCATGGAAATGCAAGGGGAAACTGCTCTAGCCAGGTTGGCTGACTCTGCTTGGACATCCTCACACTCCTTTTAATGGACTGGCAGCTCATGAGGGAACCTCAGCCAAACCAGACTGATGCAAATGGCAAGCGACCCCCTAGAATTGCAGTTCTGAGTAGGGATATGTATGCGGAAAACCGACTTCATCAAACATCGCATTCCATAATGTACCTCTTGTGTGCCACCAAAGCCAAAATACATTAACGCAAAGACAGGAAATGTTATGGGAACCAGCTTATTACTGTAACCTTTATGCGTCATTCAGAGAGAATCTTTATAGTCAGTTTAGCCTCTGTATCACATAAAAAATGGTAAGACATGGGACTGAGTGAAGCAGATACAGCAGCTGGATGTTAGCTTGCCATTTTAAAAGTCCCTTCTGTAACTAATGGCTGAGTACTGGGGAAATTATGAACAAATGGTAATTGGAAGGGACAGCGCTGCTTTGAAGACTTTCTGAATCTGTCACATGGAGGTTTTCACAATACCTGAAACTAAACCCTTCAGGGGATGAAATTAGTCTGACATCCTCATGCCACCTGCATACAGTATTCTCTATCTCCTTCCCTCCTCTGGCTTCTGTTTGCTATTTGTGTGCTATAGGGATAATCAATACACTCAAGCTAAGAAAATGGCTGCATTGTAGCAGCAGGATGAAGGGCATCTAGTTTGGTATTTATAGTCTGATGTAATGGTCTTTGAAATTAAAAGTTCCGATGTTTTCTTTATGTGCTATTTTTGAAAGGGTGGAAGGAAAACAATTCTAGAAAAAACATTCAGCTTGCATTTCCACTTTGCTTCAGGTATTGAGTACAAATAAAATACAAATAAACGGTGTATTATCTCTTTAGTGCCTTTCCAAGGTGTAAACACACATACAGGCTTTTTCTCTTAACAGCCTTTTCAACAGCGATTTCAAGCAGCTCTGCCAGAAGCAAGTTGACAGGACATGAATTTTCTATTCCTAGGCCTGGCTGTATTCTCTTGGGCATGGTATTTCATCTCTTTATACCTTTTTCTCCTCTCACCTTTTGTCTGTTTAAGCTTCAATTTCCAGACTACAACTTTTCCTATCCTGTGTAAGTGTACATAATCTAGCATAGCGGAGGCCTGATTCTGTCTGGGATTTCTAACCACTAGTGTGATGTAGATAGTAACAGTCATCCCTCAGTCTTCCTTTTCCTCTCATGCACCTCCTTGAGCAAGCCTTATCAGCTTCTCAGAGGAATGTGCTGCCATTTGATCTCTTGTAGGGTTAAAGGAAAAATTACTAGCTATCTCATGTAGATATGTCTCTGAATAATGAAATGTCCAGCAGCAATTCAGTCCTGTTTACAGTTATGAGCATTGGTAGGGGCTGGATAGCTAGCTCTGAAAGAGAAAATGCTTAGCATAGGTACAGAAGGGGATTCTGAGAGTTGGTGTTTCTACAGAGGTGTTTCTGCTTCTACCAGATATGGCAACATTCCCTTTGAGAATACTCATTTATTGCATACAGGTTCTGGGAGCAGCATTTTATTTTGGGTAGACATGAGGGGCAGCAGCAAAGAGAACATTTTCATTCATGCTGCCAAATGTGCATTTCTCCAGTGAACCCTGCAAGCTCCAGTTTCATATTGTATTACCGTGGCTGTAAACCATCCCCTTAACATGCTCTCAGTGTTATACATTTTCATGACTTCCTTATCTAGCCTTTCAGATTTCCTGTAGGAAAGACAATATACCAGAATGCACTCAGTAACACTGTTAGTTTTACTGACTCGTGCTGCTATCTCTTAAATGCAAGGTAATGAAGTTGCTTTGGATGTGCATTTTTGTTAAGAGGCATTGGTCACACAGGAGCTAATAGAATGCAGAAGGTTCTGTGGCCTGCTCTGTCTAATCGTTGTCAGTTCTGACTGTAAATTCTGCCTTTCCACATTCTGTCAAAAGCTTGGTGATGAGTTTTTCAGTGTTATGTTTCTATGCCTTGCAGCCAGAAATGTAAGTAGGTGTTTCTCTCAAAAATAGCTCTGCTTTACAGATAAAGTTTATTAACTAACTTATGCTACCCCCTTCTGGCTGTTCAGCTCCCCACATACGCACCACATGCTGAGTCTATATAAGATGGCTATAGATGCTAAAAACCAGGCAAGTGGTGCTTCTCTATGTTCCAGGGCTTGCTATGCTTCCTTTATGGTTAATGAGTTGGATGATTTCTTAGTTTTCCCATATACTGCATCACAGCAGTGATTATAAGGTGTTACACAAAGTGCATTTTTATTTCACAACTAAACAATCTAGGAGAAAATCCAATTAGCTTTCCTGATGGCCCCATAGGGCTGAAAGGATAAAAAAAAGGAGCAAAATGAACAGGCACAGCCATTTTCCTTTCTTATCACTGTAAGAGCAGCCATGACTCATGTCACAGGAAGCGAAAGTTCTGACATTTCAGACACAAGTCAAGTTTTTGTCATACCAGACAATCTGTTTTAGCCAAAGCCTGAGAATTGACATGGAGGGATAAAAATACTCCAGGCTTGCTCAATACCCTTGGCCCTGCCTCAGTACCAACTGGCATCTGCAGCCCAAAGCCCTTGAACCTGAGGATGGCAGGGAGTGTGCTGAGTTTTGGTTTAATGCTGGTGAGTCCTGCGAGGAGCAGGGACTTGGACTTGATGATCCCTATGGGTGGGTCCATTCCAAGTTGAGATCGTCTATGATTTTATGATTTTGCTTCTTTTGTAAAGGCTATGAGAATTGGTATCTGGCTTGGACACATGACACCTAAGGAGCGGTAGAAGCACTGGAGAAAACTTTTGCCACTTGCTCACAAGCAAAGCTGCTGGTTTAACTTTGCAGATCGCTTTTCCCAATGGAGTTCCCCACAAAGCAGAAATAGGGAGGGAGGTTGACGACACTGTTCTCCCATGGGAGGCAGATTCCCTTAAACTGTATATAGGCTGTTTCCCTCCTCGTAAATTGTTATTGTGGATCTGGTTTTCCATCTATAGTGCCCTTGCTCCCCAACAGATTTCTACCATTAAAAACCATACAGTAACAATTTCTGGCGGAATATTTCACTGGTTGCTATAAGCAGTAACTGAAATTGCAGCAAGAGAAGCAAGCAAACACCCCCACCCCTTCTACTCCCCGTTTTTATATATTTTGACAGCATGAATTTTGTGGAAGAGAAATACATGAAGAGCCTGGAAGAGCTCTTTTGAGGTTGTATATTTTAACTTAAGTAGATTATGGAGTATCCTGGTCCACAAAAACATGGTAGGTTTTGTCCTGACTGAGAAGCAATGCCGGGTGCAAGGCAGTCTGCTGTACCCATAGAGCCTCTCACCTGGACGGCCAGAGCACAAAGATATGGGCACAACTCCATGCAAATCTTCATGTACTTAGAGAGAGAAACCATTTGGTTTCCATTTCTGCAGGGCTTTAGCACTGTGTCCAGCCACTGAATGGGAAGTTGCAAGGTGGTTCGTGTGACACCTCATTTAACTGTATTAAAAAAAAAGGGGGGGGGGGGGAAGATGTTAGTAAAAGCAGAAGATCTAAAGGATGAAAAATAAAATTTTAGGACAAGCTGTTTCACCTTTGACACCGCTGATTCTGCTCCCTGGTCTGCAGCTGTTAACAGGGCCTGCCTCACCCCCGGGCAGCCTTGCAGGCTGTGGAGGGCAGGTGGCTGAGAAGCGGCCCTGCCCTTGACAGCAGCTGCTCTATAATCCCCTCCGTGGGCTTTGGCAGCTGCTTCAACAGCAGCTGGGAAAACTGGGGAGAAGCTGAGAAGATGCTTTCCCACTTGCTCCCTCATGTTTGTGCTTCACTCTGTCCTTGTTGGGACTCCTTCTGTGATGTTCCAGCCCATGTGTCCCACCTCAGGCACCTGTGTGTATGCCAACAGAGGAGCTAAGAGGCTTCAAATATACACAGGCACCACTGTGGAGTTTTATGGAAATGTCCCTTTGCTCCCTGATGGACGGGAAACCAGGGAGCAAATAAACACCAGCATCTAGAAGTCCCCAGCACCAACCCAGATGCCCCTTGGTGAGTCAGCCTTGGGCACCCATCAACATATGTGCCCCTGTTGCCAATGGAGGGCAAGCAGCAGGTAACCCTCAGAAGCAAACTTTCCCCCTTCATACCCTTGTCCTGCCCTGTTCCCCCCCGAGTGGGCTGTAACTGCCCTCCAAAGGAAATCCTGCCTCTGTGCTTGCACTGGACCTCCTGTCAGTAGTTACCACCCGTACGGGTCTGCCTGCTTCATCTCAGAGGGCAGGCTTGACTGAGGTAATTTGAAGTCAACAGATCAAAAGCTCACAGTCTTCAATATTTTTGGGTGTTTTGGAGATTGTTCTGTTTTGAGGACGTCCTGCCTGCTGTGGAAATATTTTCAGATGACTGACTGCTTTTTCCTAGTGTGTACTGATGCAAAAAAACACAGGCATTTTGAGAAGGTTGGGTGTTTGACTGGGGACAGGATTAATCTCCTACTATGTGGCACAGTTCAGCCAGGTTTGCAGTGAACAGAACAAAATCCAAGTGGAATGGCCTGATTCCCAAAACACTTAGTAGGCAAGGGCACATCTGTTTGTAATGGCCGCTTTTGCCAACAAAACTCTGCAGTGCCTTCTGTACTCAGCTGGCACATTGGCTCAGCAGCAACTGAGGCAGAAGAGTGCTCCATAGTGAATCTCTAGCATGGCCACTGGGAGGACCTTACTTTGTCCTCCTTTCTGTGACTCGCTGTGAGCTGTGAGTTTGCTCGCCTTAGCCTGTTATGTTCACATGCATCAGCTGAGCCATAACACTGATGGAATTCTGGAAGTTGTGAATGCTCCATCCCTGGTGGTGCTCAAGGCCAGGTTGGACAGAGCCTTGGGTGACATGGTTTAGTGGGAGGTGTCCCTGCCCATGGCAGGGGGGATGGAACTGGATGATCTTAAGGTCCTTTCCAACCCTAACTATTCTATGAAGACAGCAGTACTGCTGGTGAACCAGACATCTAGCCACTTCTTTTCCTGTCAGAGAGATGGATCACTGTATGCCATACTCTTCGTACGTTCTGGCCTTGATCTTTGTTTTTTCAAGCTGTCTTTTGAAAAATCAGCTCGTGTTAGTACATACTATCCTCTGGGAGGACAGTTAATACACTGCAGTTGAGAGAGACTTTGCAAAAATCTGTGTGTGTTCATCCTTGCTTTCCTCTGGCTCTTCGCAGTAGCTAATGTAATAGTCCCATTAAAACACCCTGTTCTGATAACTGGATTTAGGGTTTTTTGTATCCTACATTTCTGGAGTATCTACAACTTTGCATTCAATACAGGTAAGAACATATTCCTGTCAGATATGGATCATTGTTTGAGTCTGAAATGCCATGCAGTGTTCAGAGTAAGAAGAAGAAACTTGTTTCTGTATTTGGATTCAGTCAACTGCTGGAGCAATCACAAATTTTCTTAGGAGACAGCGATTATCCAAGTGCTAGATCAGTTTCCATAGTCTTAGATGCTTAAGAAAGTTGTGTCACATCTCCTGTATCTGTAAAAGTGGCTTTGGTAATGTTCAGAAAACCAGGCCTAGCTGGTGATATTTCTACCTTCTCCAGGGTTTTTGGACCTCTTCTGCCATGAAATATCAATACTCTGACCCTTTTGTTGGCTGGAATTCAGGAAATGCAGAAATGGAGAAATAATGCCTGGTATTAAAGTTAACAGCACTTTAAAGCATAGAAGAATCTGGAGTTTTTTGCTATGAAAAAATATTTTTGTCAAGTTTAAACTTAACTGCTATGGTTTGTCCACACCTACATGTGACACTTGGTGCTCAGCTCAGCTCTCTGGTGAGGTTTTGGTGTCAGTTTTGTCCTGAAACTGGTTCTGAGTTCTTGTCCTTGGGAATATCCCCAGCACAGTTCATCTAGGTTCTGTTCTGTGTGTCTGTTTGCTCTTAAAATGAGCACGGTGACAACTGATAATATTTAACCAGCTTTATATTTTAGTCATATATACTGGTTATACAAGTATGTAAGTAGCTAAATAATCATTCTAAATATAACACATTGGTACAAACTCACTGACTCCACCTAATGACTGTAGCTATCGTGTGTCGTAAGCTGCTAGGCCTACATCAGCAATAAGTAACAGTCCTTACTACAGAGATCCTAATGCTTACTATATGGTTGGAAAGTCTTTCATTTATGATGTTACGGAATCACAAAGTAGTTTTTATGAGTGGTTTTTATGGTGAGCTGAAGGATACACTGTTTTTAAATGAAGAATAGATGGGGAAAGAGTGAACAAGGGGAGGAGGATCTGAATTACCTGGTCTGAATGCCTATAGTATTCGTAGACTTTCTCTAGGACTTTGCATAAATGACTTACAGCCTTGTAGGTCAAGTGCCAAATACTCTTTTTGTGTTAGGGGCAGTTTTGCATCAGACATACCAGTTTCTCATCTGAAAACTGAACATTTTTCCTTTTCTCTCAACCTCTGTAGTAAGAGACCTGTATGGACATCCTGTTCCTCTGACTGCTGGTACATAGAGTGCTGGCAAAACAAGGCTTTATCTTTCTTTTGGTGTACTCTTACACACAAAAATTACAGATCCTTGAGTATCACCAGTGGAGGCATCTCTCAGTAGCACTGTGGTCCTAGTACTCTAAACCTGTGAGCCCAGCTCTAAATGAGACATTTTCTTCAGATGCTGTATCTCTAAATATCTTCACTTGTTGTTCCAGGGGACAATATAAAATACAGGAGGTGAGAACTGTATCTAGCCTCCAGAGGAGTAGGACATAAGCAGAGCAGAAGTGTGGCAGTTTAACCAAGGGAGAGAGAGACTGTGAAGCAGGTATAAAATAAGTGCTGCAGAAAGATTATGGACTCAGTCAGAGATCAATGTGGTCAGACATTTATTATAGCTTATCAATCACTTCTATACACTTTCTCTGCCTTGGCTTACAATAGCTTGCTATATTATAATTGGATACATTTTTTTGTAATACACCGCAAGTATGGTTACATTTACAATAGCTCGCTGTATAACATTTGGATACATCTTCAATAGCTTGCTGTAGTATAATTAGATACATGTTCAACAGCTTGTTGTATGATGATTGAATACATATACAATAGCTCAGTATACTATGCTTTTATACATATTCCTGCAGCACACAGCAACTAGTAACAGTAAGCGTATGAGGACTTAACCTTTAAAATTTGCTAACAGTCCACTATTTTGTATCTTAGCACAGTCCAGTTTCTTCTTATCTTGCTTGCTTAAGCTTCCTCGGGCCTCTCATGGCCTTGCTGTATCTTTTGGGATTATTCAGAGTTCATGTACCAAATACCCATTCTCCTGTGAGAACCCTGCCTCCACAAAAAAACATATAGGCACATGGCAAGATGAGGTAAGCTAAAGGCTGCTCTCATGCTGAGGCAAATGTTCTTGCTGGTACAAACTCTCTTCCCTTGGACAAACTGACTTTGTACTGGCTGATAGCGTTGCCTGCAGTGCACAGCTTGGATGAAAGCATGGCTCATCCTTGCCTTTCTCACTACCTTGGCCTTCACTTGCACACCATTTCTGTAGGTGCTCCTTCCCGAGGCTCATCGTCGTCTGTCAGTGGGGGTACTCATCCTACACCCAGCCAGTGCTGGCTTGAGCATGGGCGAGGTGCTTTGTGTGCAGTACATGCAGTGTTGAGGGGGAAATGCGGTGTTTAGTGTACAAACACAGTAAACTGGGAATTCCTGCATGTGAGTGGTGTCAAGGCAGTGCAAGGCACTGCTTTCTCTGAAGCTATCCGTAGCCTCTAGGGAGCGTTGTGGGCATAGGGTAGTGGTACTTCTTTCCTGATAGCCTAGGTGCTTGGGAGTCAGCTTTTTGAGGTCAGGAGAGTACTCAGTCTAATTGAGTATTGGTCTTGGACAGGTCCTGCTCTTTCTGAAACCACTGTACAACTTGGCAGACTGAAAGGCTCAGCTGACTACTGTCTCTCTTTTCTGCTGTGTTTGAATGTCCTCAGGTCCTTGCTGTCCCCTGGTATAAAAGCTCCTCACAACACAAGTAAATACCCAGACAAAAAAAAAAAAAAAAAAATCAATTTTTGTGACATGTTGGTCAATTAAACCAATTTTGCCCTAAAAAGTCAAATGGCCAAAGGGGATACATTGCTTTTGATCTATTCTGTCAGCATGCAATAAAAAGCTTTGTTCAGATTTATTTGAATCTTTAGTCTGAGTCACCTAGAGCAGATGTTGGGGGTTTTGTTTGTTTGTTTATTTTTTTGTTTGGTGTTTTGATTTTTTTGTTTGCTTTTTTTTTTTTTTTTTTTTTTACATTACTTATAGCAAGAGATCTAGTTTCTGGAGGTTTTCAATATTTCCACTAATTTCTCTATTGGAAGGATTGATATAAATAGACAATCAGCCTATGACTGTCAGATTGGCAGGAGCTCCAGGAGCATGCTTTATTCCCTTGCCACTGGAAGGAAAGCATCATTTTATAAACTGATCAAGATTTCTCAGAGTATTAATTGAGGCTTAACATCCAGTGCCCCAGTGCGAAGACTGACATTTAGAAGGCTTATTTCCAAACTAAATGTGTTTGTGGTTAATTTATAAACATCAGTTCTTGGGCTGGCATTGTCCCTTAGCTTAAATTATTCAATTCTTTCTTGTTGTGTGTTTTGGGTTTTGTTTTTTTACTTTTTTTTTATTATTTTTCTTTTTGAGCTGCTGTTCTTAGCAGCACTTCATCAATTGCCTTCTTAAAACAGTTTTATATTATGCTTCATTTGATCTTGCTTCTGCTGAAAGAGGAGATGCTCGCTTTTCTATCAGCTGCACATTTCTGCTGCTTCCTTTCTTCTTCAGCAGCAGGGCAAACCGTATCAGCTCACGCAACACAAGGGACGCAGGCAGTGGGACTGGAGCAAGTGGGACTGCCTTTCTGATGGCAGGCTAATGTTAAATCACATTAAACATATTTTGAATCTGCAGTCCCAGACTTAATTTTGCTGGCCAGCCAAGAAAAGAACTGGGTTATTTCACCCCTCTTTCAGGTACTTGCTTTTCTGTTGCTGTGTTCATCCTAGAGCCCTTTTCTGTGCTGACTCAGTTGAAATTCATCCACCCTGAACCTGGTGAGCAGAACTGTCTGCAGTATTTCAGAGGCAGTCTTACCAGTGTTTTGCACAGTGCCACAAAAACTCCCCTCTTTCTCTCGGGAATACTTCAGCAAATTCTTTCTATGA